CCTCCTTCAGCTCGGGTGGTATGGAACGTCTGGGTTTTTCTTGGGATGCTTCTGGCACCAGCTTGTCTTTACCGCCCATGATGCTGGCCACATGGGTATAACGCACAACTTTCACTTCGATTCAGTGATTGGTATTATTATCGCCGACTACCTGGGAGGATTGAGTCTCGGGTGGTGGAAACGGAGCCACAACGTTCATCATATCGTGACCAACGCCCCCGAGCATGATCCCGACATTGAGCATATGCCGTTCTTTGCCATTTCCCATCGGTTCCTCACCAGTCTCCGAAGTACATATTATGACCGCGTGATGACCTTTGACGCCGTAGCGAAGTTCATGCTGCGCTTCCAGAACTATCTCTACTACCCGATTCTACTCTTTGGGCGATTCAACCTGTACCGGCTGAGCTGGGAATATCTCTTCATGGGCCAAGCGCCGAAGAAGGGTCCTGCCTGGTGGCATCGCTGGTTCGAGATCGGCGGGCAGGTTTTCTTCTGGTATTGGTTCGGCTACGGCGTGATGTACTGCACCATCCCCGACTGGAAGAGCCGGTTGACCTTCCTCATGATCTCGCACATGGTCACCTCGCCCCTCCACGTGCAGATCACCCTCTCGCACTTCGCCATGTCCACGTCCGACATGGGGGTCACCGAATCCTTCCCCCAGCGAATGCTGCGCACCACCATGGACGTAGACTGCCCGACCTGGCTTGACTGGTTCCACGGCGGCCTGCAATTCCAAGCCATCCATCACCTGTACCCGCGCATCCCCCGCCACAACCTGCGCCGCACGCAACGGCTGGTCCTGGATTTCTGTCGCGACACGGGCATCCCCTACACCATCTTCACCTTCTATGATGGCAACAAGGAGGTCATAGGCAAGCTCGGCGACGTGGCCAAGCAAGTCCGCATTTTGGAGGAGTGTAGAAAGTCGTGTGCTGAGCAGGGCGTCTTCTCGGATCATCACTAGCACCCAAAATCACTGGGAATAGACGGATGTTGGGATTCGGTGGTTACAAATCCCCCGTGTGGGTTTGTCCTTCGGCGGTATCGTATGTAAGCGTAGAACTGCTTTTGTATATACTTCAGTCCCCTTGGCCGGACACACAGACACACATTGTACACTTGGACGCAAGAGTTACGTTACGGATCGGTGTTGTCGATGGCTCACTTATGAAGAATCGGATCTTTCTAATGTCGTGATGTTTTTTGGGCATGGCTCTTTTGATCGTCGATAGATTGTTGTCATTTGTGCTGGGAGCATCTAATAAGATCTCCCATTGGAGTATATGTTCAGTATGTGTGGCTCATGGTGCCGGCAGAAGCCTGGAAGCTCAGACGAATCTCCCTCTTAATCTAGGGTATCATCTATAACCTTCCACCCCCTCGCAGAACTCCAATTCCATCTACCCATCTAATCCTCTCATACCAACTAACCGACCATCCCCCCCGCCCTCGCCACCTTCTTCGCCCTCTGCTGCCGCCGATTATGATTCGCACGACTCGCCTTATTCTCCTCTTTGCGCTGTCTCGCCGCCGCCGGATTCTGTCCTGAACTGTCTGTGACAGCACCAGCACCACCAGCACCACCACGGCCCCCGCCTCTTCCTCTCCCACCTCTCCCTCTGCCCCTACCACCGCCACCACCACCCCTCCCTCCTCTCGAGGACATCTCACCCCCACTCCCATCCTCCGCATCGCCATCCTCGACGCCGCGCCGATAAGCCGTGGGGACCAACACCGGCTGATTCACCCCCCCTCTGTCATTCCCATCCAGCACCAAATCCTCCAACCGCCGCAGCCGCTTCGGATCTCGCGCCACCATCACCGCCCACCCCTCGATCGCCTCGTCGGTCATCCCGGTCTCGCGCTTCAGCGCGGCGCGGGGTTGCGCGCGCCGCGTCGCGGAGTCGCGGGCGAACAGAGCGGGGTTGGATTTGTAGGCGCGGTAGAGGGTGAGTTCGGTTTCCTCGGCAGCACCGGGTGCAGATTGCTTGGGTTCGTCCTCGGCGGCGACGGTCGTGTCCACCGTGCCGCCGACGTCGGTTACGTCGTAGGTGTCGTCGCGCTCGTCGTCGTCGGAGTCGAAGGTGGCGAGGGCGGACATGATGGCCGCCTTTTGGGCGGCGTGGTTGGTGCGATCTGACAGGAGGGAGTCGGCGGTGAGGGTGGGGTTGGCGCGGCCGAAGCGGAGGGTTTGTGGGTGATTTGGGTCAGTGTCGGAGCGGGCGAGTTCGGCGAGGTCGATTTCCGTATCGAAGATGTTCTTGCGCTGTGGTGGGGGTGCGGTTGTTGTTGTGTTGGTGAGGGTTGGGGAGCGTGGGGGGAAGGGGTCGTGGTGGGAGGTAGTTGCAGGGGATGGGGTGGGCAGGGATTCGGATTTGTCGAGGGTTTGTAGTTCGGGGGCCAGGGAGTCGTCGAGGAGGTGGGCGACGATGGTCTCGGGGTCGTCGTTGTAATGGTCGAGGAGGCGCGCGATGTAGCCGGTGCCTAGGTCGGGGAAGAGGTCTTGGACTTGTGTGATGAGGGACATCTTGTGGATGTGGAGGTCTTCGGCCGCCTTGGGGAGCAGGTCGTCCTCGGTGGCCCGGCCTTTGCCTTTGTTGATAACGGCACGCTTGCGCGGTTTCTGGTAGCGGCGGTGCAGGTGTTGCGTTTCGGCTTGGTATGCGCGCAGGCTGGCGAGGAGGTCCTGGCCGCGCTTTTGAGGGTGGACATCTGTGCTGAGGTGGCGGTCGAGGCGGCCTAAGAAGTCGGTGCTGCAGATGACCTCGGACAGGAGGGTGGGCTCCTTCTTCGTGCTGGTGCCAACCCCCGCGCTCGCTTTCATCCCGTACAGCTGGTCCAGGAGCGACGACAGGTTGGGCTTGGAGCTCTTGAGAAAGGAACACAGCCCGACGTAGACATTCGCCACGAGCACTTTGCGGACGTCCTCGCGCTTATGTGCTTGATAGGCGTCGACTACAGTATCGAGGAAGTCGGAGCCGGCCATGAGCACCTGGCCGCAGCCGGGCAGGGCCGATGACAGGATCGTCAGAAGTCTGAGATCCACTAGCACCCCGGAAGGCTTGCTGAGGTTCAAGGATGAGAGATCCCGGATGGCTTGGACCTTGGCCTTCTCCAGGCTGGACGTGATCGCATCCTCATGCTTGTCCCATGCATCAGCCAGTAACCTCTTCAATGCGGAGCTCGAGGGGTAACAGCAACACATGCCGGCGAGAACCCTCCAGTCCAGAAGCTCCGGCGGGGTGGGCGAGACCTCGAGGAGAAACCTCCGCGTGAGGAGAAAGCATAATTTCCGCACTGAGCGTGTGTTCGGTGCCGTCGGGGACCGAAATAAGCTGGAGTTGATCGACTGCCGATAGAAAGAAGTCAAAAATGTCACTGTAGACTCGTCGCTCGCGGCGTACTCTCTGAATTGCGAGGCGGGAGCTTCTACGCGCAAGCTCAGAAGCATGATCCAAGCATCTATATAGAGCTCCCATTCCGCGGGTGGGATGTTGCGCTGCACCTCCGGAGGTGGGACCGGCGCAAGAGGTGGTAAGCCTGGCATGACTGTAAGACTGTAATTAAGCGTAAGCAACGATGGAGGTCTGGTAATTCAGGATCGCCACAATGGCACGGAAGTCTATAATGAAGGACAGATATCATGGAATCATCAACATCATCACTGGTCGTTGCAACAAGACATCATCATCGGCTCCATCACCGCCCGCCGCCGGACCATCTATTCTTGGCTTAACCCGATCCAGACGCCGCCGCGGAGTATCTGCTGACTCAGCCGCGGTCGCGCTCAATACGGGTTAGCGGCTGATAGGCGAGGATGCCAAGGCCAGCACCCGCACAAGAGCCGCTAAGCGCACGATGAAAAAAAAAATAGAGGATTGATTTCAATCGATTAGTCCGCGAATAGCTACAGACCCTCTTCAACAGCCATCATCACCTTACCGAACCCCCGAAGTTCAGGTCTTGATTGGTAGCCAGCCTCACCTTACGGTATGTTCTCCCTTCTCCCTTTCTTTCTTCTCTGTGAACGACAGCTGATCTAACCTCTCCCCCCCTCTCTCCACAGCCATCTCAATCCCACGGTCTCACCCCACCGCTCAATACATTCAAGATGTCTTTCCAGAAGCCCGAGAAGGATTTCGGCGAGGGCCCCGTACGTTCCTCCTCAATACTACTACTCGCACCCTGCTGTCTCGTCGCAAGACACGCATTGGGATAGCATACCAAGAGAAACGAAACAATGCGACTAACATCATCTTGCTTTCGCTGGTCTACAGAAGGTCCACAAGATCCGCATCACCCTTACCTCTCGCAAGGTCGCCTCCCTCGAGAAGGTCTGCACTGAGCTGATCGACCGTGCCCGCTCCAAGTCCCTCCAGGTCAAGGGTCCCGTCCGTCTCCCTACCAAGACCCTCAACATCTCCACCCGTAAGACCCCCAACGGTGAGGGTTCCAAGACCTGGGACAAGTACGAGATGCGCATCCACAAGCGTCTCATCGAGTAAGTCCTCCCGACCATTGCATGACAACACACGTGTGAGCGGAGGAACTAACGTCGAACGCAAAGCCTCCTCGCCCCCACCGAGACCGTCAAGCAGATCATCATCAACATCGAGGCTGGTGTTGAGGTTGAGGTCACCATTGCCGCTTAAATGCGTGTCTAAACTCTTCGTTGAGACTGGTGACCGAGGCGGCAGCGGCGCCGACGATGTGCTCGTCCGGCTGCTTGGGAGAGATTCCGCTCCCAGGCCTGTGCCACGCAATTGTCGATACCCGCTTAAACCTGGCATAAAAATGAAAAACTTCTAAAACACGCGTAATCACGAGTTCTGTACGATATGTAGTTTTGTCCAGATGCTATTAGGCTGTAATTCCGACCCAGTGCCAATATCCTGTCCGATCCAACCGGGACGCCATTCGTCTTTGGGAATAATAAGTAAGCAGCTATTTACAATACAGAGGCTAGTAATTTCCGTCCGGTTTACCCTGTCCCACTAAAAGTCGAAGCTCACCCACTCGGTCTTTGGCGGTACGCTCGGAATGACCCCGTTCTCGAAACACCCATTCGTCACGAAGTACTCGTACTGTTGTGTGACCTCGGCCGTATATTCCTCGGGCCGTGCCTGAGCATCCCGTAGACTAGCTTCATCAGGCGGCCCATCTGGGAAAAAGATGCGGACAAAGGTTTCACGGTCCTGCGGATGAAGATAGCACGGTACGTCGTTGATATATCTCACGGGTTGACCCTTCCAAGAGGTGAGCCTTCTGGTCATAGGATCACGAATTGTTTGTCCGTTGAGCGGTGGGATGGGGCTGAGCTCGCTTGGGTCTCTCGTTCTGATGACAGGGGCTGGCCCAGGTCCCAATGGCGCAGTAGGAGCAGCAGGGGCCGCCGGAGCAGCCGCTGACGTTGTCGGTATGCCGAAACCGGTAGCTGCGGGCTTTGATACTGCCCCGAACCCAGAAGTTGCCGGCGTTGATGCCACTCCGAACCCAGAAGTTGCTGGTGTCGATGCTGCCCCAAACCCAGAAGTTGCTGGTGTCGATGCTGCCCCAAACCCAGGAGCCGCTGGCGTTGTTGCCGTCCCAAACCCGGGAGCCGCAGGAGCCCCGAATCCAGGCGCTGCTGATGTACCAAACCCAGGTGCTGCGGGCGTTGATGCTGCTCCAAACCCAGGAGCTGCTGCCGGCCTTGCAGCGGATGCTTGCTGGCCCAGCTGCGCGAAACCAGACTGGCCAAATGCTGGCTCGGCTGGTCGTTGGTTTGTGGCTCCAGAGGATGGAATCGCTTGACCAAATGGGTTTGATGGCTGAACACTACCAAAGGGTGATGCTGATGGTTGACCAAATGTGGACCCACCAGTTTTTGCATTGGCGAACTGCGCAAACGGGGAAGGCGTGGATGCAGACGCGCCAAAGCCGCCAGATGCCTTACTAAACGGAGAGGCTGTGGCTCCTGCAGCTGAAGGCTGGCCGAACCCAGATGCAGGTTGCCCGAATGATGGTTGACCAAAAGCCGTTTGTGCGGATGGCTTGCCAAACGACGAGCCCTGGTTGAGGGCACTTGGTTGTCCAAAGCCAGTTGCATGTGCAAGATTCGATGGTTGGCCGAACCCCATTGGTGGAGCGATAGACGGTTTTGCGTAGGCTTGATCACCCAACAATGCTGGCTCACCGAAGGCTGGACCTGTGGCAGGGGGAGCCTTGATCTCACCAAATAACTTAGGCGGAGCGCCGAAAGTGGTACCGGTCTTGTTGTTCACAATGTCAATTCGATTCGGATGCTCCTTGGCACCGTCCAGAAGATATCTGACAGCTCCATCCAGGTCCCTGAGAGCGGTTTCCATTTGGTTCCGTGCCTCGTTGTGGAGACCCTGGGCTTCTGAAACTGCTACCTCAATGGGGCTACCTTGAGCGACTAGTTCATAATGGCGGAGTCGTAGTTCTTCGAAGCTCTGTTCTCGCTGGGGGCCTCCAAATAATTGCCTGGGAGCATCTCGTCCAGGCCCATAGCATGAGAAGATCCATTCAGGGAGCCCCTTGCCAGGAGTCAAGTCTGCTTTGATATCTGCTGCAGTGATCCCATATCTGGCCGCGTTTAGTGCCTATTCTGAGAATTTGAGGAGATGGCATAATCTACTCACTGTGCATTTTGCTGGTTTTGTCCACCACGACCTATATAACAATCAGCAATCGCGTAATCATGGGTAGTCCGTTGACGGCATCATGTGAGCTCCGATAGACGAGGTGAGAAGTAACGGAATCAATGCAGGCGCGACAATCTCAATCAGACGAACAAAAATGTTTACATTAGACACAAAAGAACCATGGGGATCACCAAAAGAGCCAAGAACAAGGTCACAAGCATTTTAAGGGAAAGGTGCATCTTGCGCATGGGCGAGGCGATTCACATACCTCCACCTCCGCCGCCGCCGCCGCCGCCGCCGGACAGAGCTGCGAATTTGTTTCCGCCTACTGTTTGCTTGCCGGGGTGCTCATTGTAGCATCTGTCTGTAGGTCAAATTAGTCATGTGTCCGCGAGACATGATTCAGCGCTCAAGCAAGACAAGCCAGATGCAAGAGACCAAGCAAGCTCATACCTCCATATTTACACCGGCCTTTCAAGAAGTGCTGGCAAACGGGCATGTTGCGTTCGCGTCGGGCGTCCTCAGTCGACCAGTAGGAGCATACGAGAACGTCCTGTCGAGTCTTCGTTCGCGATAGCGGCCTCTCAGGGCTTGTCCCTTGATTCTCGATAGACCAATTCCAATCTATGTGTATTTTTCTATTGAAGAAGAAACATAAGTAAGCCGAAAGCGATCCAAGATACAAGAATCCTCGCAGTTTTTCAGCGTCCAGTGACTTGCAAACGAACAATTGATATTCTTTGTTGCAAATGAAGAGTTGTTCCGGTGACAGTACGTTTCCCCGACCCGGACTCTGTTCGCCGCCTTCTGGCAACATTTGCCGTATTTGGCCTGTACCGGCAATACATTCAAAGTACTTCCTGCACTCACCCTCACCTATCATGCTTGTGCTCTGATGGGCCGTTACTTCCTTGTCTATTGCAAAGTACAATCATACTTTTACATGAAGAACTTCACCCTTTATTGAGTGTCGAAGTTCATAGTAGTCATTACCACGCCTGTTGTCTATGCACAGTAAGTAGATCATATAGAGGAACAACAGCAACCATGCCCTCTTATCGTTATGCCAATGCATCATAAAATTACATTAGTCCCCATGTGAACTCCTATTCTCCGAGTAAAATCCCATCAAGTTGGCTTCGAGACAATTTGTGGCCAGCATCGACGCTGTGCCTCAGGACTGTTGGTTAGTGCTGTTGGCCGACGACACGAGTTTCGAACGGGCCAGGCTTTGGCGCAGAACGTCCCAGTTCAAACCATCCACCTTCTCACCGCCCAGTGACTCAAGGTCGGTAGACAGGCCATTCAACTTCCCTGTCGCTAAGCGTCGCATCATGACCGTATCTTTGTGGCCATGAAGCCCCCGAGCATTGCCCCGGAGTAATGACTCCTCGAACCATTCTTCCTCCTGTTCATCAAACGGGAGACCGATCAGTTCCATAGCCCTCGCACTCCGCGCGGGGCCGGCCTCGCTTGTCAGGACAAATTCAATGAGCTTCTCCAGGTAGCTCTGGCGGAGCTCTTCATCATGCTTGCGCGTGAAGTAGAATGCTTCGGTGATGCTTGCGCGGCACATGGTCTGGAAGAAGGCTCGCTGAACCTTCTCGGAAGCCAATGGCGGGGCCACGGTAAGGTAGTAGGCCATGACAAGGCTGTCGTCGTGTCTGGGGAGGTTGGGGAGGGTTAAAACGTAGAGGATTTCGTCGGGAAAGGTGGGGATAATGGAAGGCTCAGTCAGGAATTCGACAGCTCGCTACTCATAAGCGGTAGTCAGTCATCTGCAGTCGGCTATCACGTCGGCGAAGGTGAAGCGTACCTTGAACTCCAATCTGTCAAGGTTCCAGAGACCGTCTATGAACAGCCTATACTTCTCCGGTAGGTGACACCGGCGGGAGAACTGCGTAGCCGCATCGTTGCTGGCGCCGCGGCAGTCTTTGAGGATGTAGTATATCAACGATTGCTTGTGATGGATGTCGAGTGGAGAGGATACGATATGTCCGATCAATGTGCGCAGGTCAGTGTTTGATCGAGGAGGGTAGAGCCGCGTGACTATAAAATTGTGCCTGGTCAATCCTTTGTTCGAGTTTCCAGCCTTGAAGAGCGGAGAGCTACCTGCTTTGACGCCGAGCAATCCCAAGAGTCTGTCTGCAAACAGCCGGTCCTCTAAGGCGCGGCGATTTGATATGATCTGTTCAATGAGCTTGCCATCGTAGCTGAAGTCCTTATTGAACTGAAAGATGGAATCGAAGTCCTCCCAAGGCGCCATCTTGAGCAGTGCTGGCGAGTTGACACACTCCTCTTGGAAACTCCTCGAGCGCCGACGGTAATATTGAGGCCGATATTGACAGTACCGTACGGCTCGATCGGTACACAAAGGCGGTGGGGCATGTGACTGAAACAAGATGCAAATGTTGTGGCAGAAAAACAACACTATTCCGCTTCGGGCGGCGATGTAAACAACCCACTTTCCATCTGCGGCGCTTTCAAATGTCAACTTTGGCACCTGCACACGCTTGAGATTCCGCCTTGATGCAGCACCCACAGGCGACTAACAACAGTACAGCATAATGTCGTCAATTGCCAGAGGCCGGCCATCCCGGCGCGCTGCCCCGCGCAGAAGTTATGTCCCAGAAGAAACGCCATCAGACGAGGAAGATCCTGGAAATGTCACCCCCACGGCGCCGTCCCGCCACGGGGATGATGACGACGAAGAGGAGGGCGAACGGACCCCGGTCCCCAAAAAACCCAGCGCAGTCAAGAGATCATCACGCAGACAAGTCAGTGCCGAACCGCCTGCGTCAACATCGAGTGCCGCCCGCACGACACGCAAACCCCGCAAGTCGAGGACGGTGGATCCGTCGGAGTCGTCGCAACTGATTGACGAAGGCGAAAGTTTTGCCAGCGTTCAGGAGCCCGAAATTTCATCTACAACGGGCGCTCCTCGCGCAACACGCAGATCACGCAAGTCGAGGACGGTCGACCCATCGGAGTCATCCCAGTTGATGGATGAGGGTGAAAGTTTTGCAAGCGTCAGAGAGCCAGAGGAGCCTACTACATCGAGCGCGCCTCACACGACGCGCAGGACCCGAAAGTCGAGGACAGTGGAGCCGTTGGAGTCGTCGCAGTTGATTGATGAGGGTGAAAGTCTGGCTAGCATCAGAGAAACAGAAGAACCATCTGCATCGAGCGCTCCTCGTACAACGCGCAGGGTCCGCAGGTCGAGGGCTGTAGACGCATCGGAGTCTTCGCAGTTGATTGACGAAGGTGAAAGTCTTGCAAGCGTCAGAGAACCGGAGGACCCGTCAACAGCTGCCCCTCGGCGCAGAACACGCAAATCAAGGGCAGTAGAGCCGTTGGAGACATCGCAGTTGACGGAGCCTAACGAAGAGGGTGAGAGTGTTGCGACCGTGAAAGCACCGGGCTCTCCGTCTGAGGAAACTCCCGTTGCAGTGAAAACAAAGGGTATGATTTCACCTTGCAAGAGTCGCATCTCCACGCCCAATTTGGAACATAACTCATTTTCAATTCCAGAGCCCTCCACATCCCCGCAGCCGCAGCCCCGAATTCATACAGAAAGCGATCCTCCACTCGCCGATATCACAGATGCAGCTGTGAACAAGTCCCCGTCGAAGTCGCCGTCGAAGTCCGTTGAAGACGAAAAGCCGCAGATACCCGTGATTAACCCGAATACAACATTGCTCGAGAAGCCTATGGACATCATGCTGAAATCCCGGTCAACCGCTCCGGCGGCCTCCCAGGAGCCGTCAGGCCCAACCAGTCGCTTGATGATCACTACCCTGGTCATGATGAACTTCAAGAGTTACGCAGGAAAGCAGATCGTGGGCCCCTTCCATGCATCCTTTTCCTCCGTTGTCGGGCCCAATGGATCCGGCAAGTCGAACGTCATCGATGCATTGTTGTTTGTTTTCGGATTCCGAGCGAGTAAAATGCGTCAGGGCAAGATCTCGGCTTTGATTCATAACTCGGCCAATCACCCAAACCTGCCCTCCTGTGAAGTTGAGGTTCATTTCCAGGAGGTCCTTGACCTGCCCAACGGCACCCATGAAGTAGTTCCAGATTCCCAACTTATTATCTCCCGAAAGGCTTTCAGAAACAACAGCAGCAAGTACTATATGAACGCCAAGGAAACCAGCTTTACCGCGGTGACGACGCTGCTCCGTGACCGAGGTATCGATCTAGACCACAAACGGTTTTTGATCCTACAGGGTGAAGTCGAGTCTATTGCTCAGATGAAGGCCAAGGCTGCCAACGAACACGAGGATGGACTCTTGGAGTATCTTGAGGACATCATTGGAACCTCGAAATACAAGACACCTATCGACGAGGCGGCTACGGAACTTGAGACACTGAACGATGTCTGTGTCGAAAAGAACAACCGTGTCCAGCACGTTGAGAAAGAAAAGGTTGCCCTCGTGGATAAGAAGGACAAAGCTCTGGCTTATATTCGGGACGAGAACGAACTCTCCGAGAAGCAGTCCGCTCTCTATCAGATCTACATTGATGAGTGCGCGGACAACATTCGAGTCACCGAAGAAGCCATTCTCCAAATGCAGGAGCTGCTGAACATGGAGCTCGAAAAGCACGAGGGTAACGAGTCCGGGATCAGAGAGCTTGAGAAGGCCTACAAACGCGGAATGCGCGAATACGAAAACATGGAAAAAGAGGTGCAAGCAATTGCCAAAGAAATGGCCAAGTTTGACAAGGAGAACGTCAAGTTCGAGGAGAAAAAGAAGTTCTTGGTTGGCAAGCAGAAGAAGCTAGAAAAGACCATGCAAAGCACACGCCTGGCTGCTTCCGAATGCGAGAGTCTGGTGCAGAAACATTCCGATGATATCGAGAAGAAGACCAATGAGACCTCTGAGCTTGAGAAAGAGATGAAGGCTGAAGAGCAGGAACTCGCCGAGATTCGTGAGAGCCTCAAGGGCAAAACCCAGGGACTTTCAGATCAGATCACCGCAAAGCAAAAGTCGTTGGAGCCTTGGGATGAGAAGATCAACAAAAAGCTCTCGGCCGTCGCTGTAGCGCAGAGTGAGCTTGACATCCTTCGCGAGCGAAGCAATGCTGGTACTGTTCTGCTCGAGGAGGCGCAGTCGAAGATCTCCTCAATCGAGGAAACGCTGGCGACCAAGGAGAACGATCTCGAGGAACGTAAAGCTCAGAAGGCTAAACTTGAAGAAGAGGTTGCGAAGCTGAAACATGACCTCAAGAAATATGCTCAGAGAGAGCCAGAGGTACGAGCCCATGTCTCCAGTGCTCGGCAGAGGGCCGAGGAGGCAAGAGCTAGTCTTGCAAGCACTCAGAATCGCGGTAGCGTTCTGTCTGGCTTGATGCGCCTCAAAGAGTCCGGCCGCATCGAGGGCTTCCACGGTCGGCTTGGAAACCTCGGTATGATTGATGAAAAGTTTGACGTTGCTATCTCGACCGCGTGTCCTGCGCTGGACAACATGGTGGTTGACACGGTTGAAGTTGGCCAGCAATGCATCGACTATCTGCGGAAGAACAATCTTGGTCGAGCCAACTTCATCCTACTCGATCGCCTCCCGCGGCGGGATATGTCCAAGGTCTCTACTCCAGAAAAGGTTCACCGACTCTTTGACCTGGTGAAGCCCAAAGACCCCAGATTCGCTCCAGCTTTCTACAGTGTGATGCAGAATACGCTGGTGGCCGAGGACCTGGAACAGGCC